GTTATCAGAATTGCCTAATATCAGATATCACAGGCTGTATTTTATTTCCATTTCTTGAGCTACATCTTTAGCAACAATGAGTTACTGTCTCTATAAAGCTTCTGCCCCCCCACCCAATGTGATTTTAACAGTTATTTCCCTTGCTGTCAGATCTGCTTTCCTGAGCTGTTCAGCATCCATTACTATCCAGACATACCTCTGATAAATGATTGTTTGTTTGATGACTGCTCCATATTTATATGTTTTCAATGAAATACAAGCATAGATTGAGGGAGAACAGGAAATGAGAGTGGAGGCAAATAGCTATTTTTCTTCATACGTATAATTCCTGAGCACTTTAAAAACACCCCCAAACACTTTGGAGATTTATCCTCTTATTTTTTCACCTTTCCTACTTTTTCTATCTGGTTCTGATATCAACAATTGAAAGATGAAACTAAAAAAAATCCCCAGCATTTCCTAAATCAAAAAGATTTATGCTTTCTTATACTTAGTTTTCTTTATGTTTGATGGATATCTAATTATAGTAATTTCAAAAAATGATGCTCAGAAAACCTTGGTATTCTAAACCTATTAATACCCACTGCCTTCTGAAATTGAGCTACTTCTATGCTATACCATAATATTCACATGCATTTAAAACAAGTATACTCCAGCACAAATTCAGGAATCATATCTGTTTTAGAAGTATAATCACGAGCCACACGCATGACATCGAATTGTGCCAATCACATTTGCTTCAAAATGTAGTAGGATCATATGCTCAAAAGCACAATTTGCACAATTGGTCAAAATGTTAATCAATAGCTCCCTTATGGCACTTAATACACACATAGGTATTTGCAGCATTTACAGGCACTTTTAGCCAAGAAAAAAAAAATAAACCCACTAAAAAGAAGAAATAAAAATGTAAGGTAAGAACAGTTGCATAAATGTTCTTAAATTGTGGCTAGTCTTAAACATCAGAAAATAGACACATATTTATCACTAAAATAACAAGCTAGATATAAACAGGTCATCTGCATATCAGGAAGCAGCATTATTTTTTCTTTATTTGGTATAGCCATGTGCTATACCTCGTTCAGTGGAAATGTTTGGAGAAGGCCTCTAAAATCTCAAGAGTCCAAATAAGCATGTAGAACAATATGGTAATTTATATATCCTGGAAAACAATCATATAAAGACACAACACTACTTTAAATTATGCCCAGCTACCAACTAAGAAAGATACAATATTCGTATTATCCATATATATTGTGATCTTGAAATTGTATTTTGAATTAACTTGTCTTAACTAAAATGCCTCAAAATGGCAGTAGTATGAACATGAGTTTAAAGGGCAAGAAAAACTGAAGCAAGATAAGCAGCTGGATGCCTAATTGACAAACCATTCTAAATTAATAAAAAGAGATCTAAGATAAGAGATTATTTGTAGCATGATAAAAATGGATTAATGAGCACATTTTCCAATTATGAAGCTGATTCTTTAGAATAGAATGCAGTCTGCTAAATCTCCACATTATTTACCTGGGCAGATGAACCATTCATCAGTGGTAACTTGCTTTTATTTGAACTGAATTTAGGTTTTATTGATTACAATCTTACTGCTTCTGTGAACAAATTTAGTATCCTAAGTATCTCAAAATGGTAAATGAACAGAAGAAACAGTTTTGAATATATGTATATGTATATGTATATGTATATGTATATGTATATGTATATGTATATGTATGTATATGTAAGCAAAGTGCTGCATCAGCTAAATTTGAACTCGCTGTCATCCATCGTTTTAATTCTCAAGACTAATTTCAAACCACCATCATGAATTTAGGCAGAGAGGTTCTTACTTGATCTGAGTGTCAGATAAATAGAATCTCTTACCATTCAGAAGTGTCCCTGACTTTCAGTTTAGGACAAGATTGACAAGGTTGAAATAATAAGGCAGTATTTTCCATTGCCTTTTAGGATTCCCCTCCCCCACATCTAGCCTACCACCCTGTGATTTCCTGTCTTACATCCATATAAGGAAACCCTTGCTTTGCTTTTTCAATATCAGCCAAGATTGACTTGATGCTGCTACCTTCTAGAAAAATAATAAAAAGGCTATCTGAGTCCTTCTCACACTTTTAGGGTACATCAACACTTCCCTCTAAGAATACCTCAAAGATGACTTGCTAATAATTTATTTAAAATACACACATGCAGTCTTCATTTCATCCTCAGCTTTTAGCCCAAGTCACTCTAACTTCAGGATTTTCTTATTCCAGTGCGGAGGTACTATTTTTCATTTTCTATCAACAAAGATTTGCTGTTTGTATTGTGGCAATAGAGCTGTGATGGAACAGATGACAAAACAAATTTATAAGCCGCCCTGAGTCTCCGGAGAAGGGTGGCATATAAATCAAATAAAAAAATAAAAAAATAAAATTTTAGATACTTCATGTAACATGCTGGCAGGAAGTCAGCAACTAATTAATATAAGGTAGACCTGCCATGTTGCAGAATCTGTGTCAATGGATCACATGAAACATCTAGGAAGAGAGCCACCTTCTCCTAAATTGTTCCCACATCAGATTAGTAGACATGTCAACAAGCTGTGAGGTAAGGGTTTCTGGTAGAGCAAGAGAGGATAACCATACCTGTGTCATAAGGAAGTCCCCACCCACAGTATACAATCCATGGAAAAGGGCACTGTTTATATTCAATCAGTGGTGGGTTTCTATTGGTTTGCCCCATTTTGAGCAAACCAGTAATGGTGGTGGCAGGAGACTCCGTCCACCCACCCGGATGTCATCATATATGCTCTGTGCATATGCAGAAGGTTCTGCACAAATGCAGAAGCACTGTGTGTGAGCAAAGCAAGCGCGCACGTGTGCTCCCAATTCTGAACTGGTAGCAAAGGTAAGTGGAACCCACTACTGTATTTAATGGCGTGGGGGTGGGCAATAAAGCAAAAAAGGAAAGCCTCCCCTCCCTGAAAATCAGGTTTTATTTATTTTATTCAATTTGGATGCTCCCTGACTTCAACCAACCACTTTAGTCATCTATCATAACTTGCCTAGGCCCCCAGCCCATTGTAAACCAATATTAGGGAAAATAATTGGTGGACTGTTTTTTTTTTTCACCAATCACCAAAAATTCACCAATCACCAAACTTTATCTTGCCCTGCAGTCACTCATCACTCATTAATGAGGCATAATGGAAAGAGAGTATGTAGACTGAGCAAATTTATGCTGGAATGCTTTATGCTGCCTCATGGAAAGAAAGACAGTATATTAAATTGATGTCTGGATATGCCCTGAATCTAGTACTTTTTTCTTTCTTCTGCCACTTGCCAATGCTGTTCATGCTTAGAGAGTCAACTGAGCATGCTGAATATATTCCCAAAACATCACCTAAAAATAGCACTTACAGACAAAACTAGTTGCACTTTACACATTTTCTACTGCGGATATGGACCACATTTTATTATTTTTTTATTCTTTCGAAACCCAGTCTTCATTAATGATAATGATGAGGTACAAAAATTGTTTGGTTAAGAAAATGTACTCCATAATTCTCTGCCATGGCTCCCTGTCATTTTATTCCATTAATTTCTATTACATGGCAGGAGCAATAGATGAAATGTATTGCTCCAACCATGCAAAATAAATTAATGGAATAAAATGGTTGGAACAATATGAAATAGTAATAATGCAAGTGTCATGCACATCATTGTTGCCTGGCTTATTTTCACAGTTCTCGTGGTGTCATTTTTCTAAATGTAAATTTACATACAGCATTAGTGGTGTACATGTGTGTTGAGGAGGATTCCTTACTTCCATTGCTAATTGCCAATAAAACAGAAAAAGCTGTCAGCAATTTCCTTCTATCAACAGCTGGGAGATAGTTTTCTGCATTTAGCACAATTTGCTTCAATTATGTGTATTAATCATATCCTACTTCTGAAGATACTCTTTTTAAAAAGGAAGATTTTTCGCAACGTTTGGGATATAATTTTTTTCTCTTAATGAATATAGGAAAATAAACTTTATTTTCCAATTTTCAGGACAGGTTTCTGAATATTGTAGCAAAAACTTACAAACACATCTCAAGATCTAGTGAACCCATTTTCTGAGCAGGGTAGTACCTTAAATCTGCTGACAAAAACAAGTATGTGTGCATTCATATTTTCAAACATAATAGGAATGGATTTTCCTGAGCATGTGCCATATGGTTAACTTTTAAATAATGGAGCTACCTGGGATGGGGTGAATGCATTTAACCTAAATTACTTTGACACTATTCTCTCACTAAATTATGAGGTTACACAACTGGACATTTTTTTTCAAATATTTCAACAATGTAAACCACATTTTCAAATGATATATACTTTTCTCTCTAAGCACAACTGAGAATTAACATTATTTTTCATCAATGTTTTCTTCAGAACATGGATAAGTGTATATTCAGAATTTCGAATGGTCACTAACAGAAAAACAGAATAACAGAGTTGGAAGGCACCTTGGAGGTCTTCTAATCCAACCCCCTGCTTAGGTAGGAAACCCTATACCACTTCAGACAAATGGTTATCCAATCTCTTCTTAAAAACTTCCAGTGTTGGAGCATTCATAACTTCTGGAGGCAAGTTGTTCCATTGATTAATTTTTCTTTCAGGAAATTTCTCCTTAGTTCTAGGTTGCTTCTCTCCTTGATTAGTTTCCACCCATTGCTTCTTGTCCTGCAAGAACAAAAAGCTTTGGAGACTAGCTTGACTCCCTCTTCTTTGTGGCAGCCCCTGAGATATTGGAACACTGCTATTATATTCACCATGTCCTCCTCCTATAGGAGAAATTCCTCTGTTATGAGGGATTGTTTCTCCCTTTTACTATTTTATAATAGATAATAAGCTAATCCTTGTTAGCTGCCCAGAATCGTGTGATGAGAGAGTGATCATAAAAATTGAATGAACAAATAAAATAAGGGACAACTTGGGATATGTTAAAGCAAAGTGAAACCTCTAAAAATCATGGCCTATGATGGAACCATTCAAGAAAGATGCTTTAAACCAAACATACAGAAGAGTTTCCTAGTGGTATGATTTGGTGATAGGCATCCACAGATTGAGCAAGTGACAAAATGTAAGTGGTGACATAACACAAAACTTATCCATTAGATCTGATGACAGTACCCAAGTACTAAAGGCCACCAATGCATATTATCTAGTCATTCATTACTACTGTCAATAGTGGACATGAATGAAAGACACCATTGTGGGAGGTAAAGGATTTCCTTTCATCCGGGTCCTGGATGGCTGTGTTCTCAGGGAGACTGAAGCCATTTTTTTTCTGTATTGCTGGGAAGTTGGATGAAATGTATTAATGGTTCCTTTCAATTTAATAATTCTATGAGGTTTATATAAGCAGGTTTGAAAGGGCAGCGCCAAGCAAATATGAAAGTCTTTCAGTATATCAGTGGTTCAAAAAAAGCATTAAACTCCCCGATAAACAGTGAAAGACATACTTAATTAAAGAATGGACAGCAGGAAACAAAAAAAAAGGGTGCATGAGGGAGAAATCTGGGATGGTACAATAACATAAATCCTCACAGCATGACAGACATTTACTGAGGCATTTCATTTCCCCTCAGCCTAATAGGGTGTTATTGTCCATTATCTATTCTGTCAGCATTGGAGTTGATATTCAATGAAGGGCAGCTGTGCCTAGCTGCCATGCTTCAGCCATCTCCCTGTTGCCATGGAGACTCAGGTGCCCGTCTCCCAGGCTCCCAGCTACTAGACAGTCAAACTGCAAGGGAAACCATACAGAATGATGGGATACGCGTAGGGTGTGTCACATTTTTCAACTTTCAGTGATGCTCAAAAGTTGTGACATGCCTTGGGGATTGTAAAGATATTTTGGTTACTTTAATATAATTTATATGTACTTGGTAAGTAACTACATAAAAATAACTTTTTAATATTTTGTTTGTTTCATTTGCAGTACCTTCAGGGGCCTTTTTCTATGGAAGGTCCTTCCCCTTGGAAAGAATAACAGTTTCATGAGAAAGGCCCAGAGGAGTTGACTCTTTCTGTATGGTGAAATGAAGTGCACACAAGTATGGATCATGTAGGATCCACAGAGTCAGTCTGTGAATGAGATGGGCTTTATCTAAATTTGACAAATAAATAAACAAACAAATCTACTCCTGGAAAAACAGTTATTGCCTCACTAGCACTTTTTAAGGGACAGAATAAATTTGCTTTACACTGGAAGCAGTAGGACATCAGTAAGAGTTATTGGACAGACAGCAACACACTCAAAAATTGTTTATTTTAAAACTTGATTAATTTCTTATAATGGATATTTGGAATACCCAAAGAGTCAAGCATTTAATCAAGCTGCCTTCGTCTAAGATGGCAAATGTGCAAGTTGTACCGATGAACATCAGGATGAAATTATACATGCCTAGCGGGATGAAACTCAGTACCTATGGTAGTTCCCCTTCAATGTGTACTCAAAAATGCTTTACTGTATGTGGAACTTCCGACACCCTTGCATCTATAACATTATCAGAAAATATACTAATCTCTGGTCTAAAGTGAGTCTTTTTAAATGAAAAGGGGTTTTGGTGGCTGAAGGTGAGGCAGCAATTTTCAGTTTTATTCAATCAAAATTGTTGCAATATTTTCAGGATCAGACTCAATAAAGATAATAGGAGTTAGAGCTTTAAATATATTTCTTTTTAATTATGATAGGCATTCTATATTCACTGAATATTCAAGGTAGAAGCGACGAGAATGGTGAGGGTGGCTCCTTATATATACAAGGGGTGGAGCTAGGAATGGGAGTGGTAAGTTATGAATACATTAAAGTCCAAAGAATAAGTTAACCTCTGATGTTCCATATATACATTATTTACACATTGGAGAATAAGGCATTTACATCTGACAAAAATAATTTCCTTCCCTGCAAGACCTGGTTGCCTCAGTATTGCTTCCTATCATTCTGTTAAACTGGGACAAGGAAACAGGGTTTGTCAAACTCATCCTCCAAATCATCAGTTCTTTATAGAATTTACCTCAAGCTGTAGCTCCAGTATGACCTATAATGGAGAACCCCCAGAGACATCTGATATAAACCCACAATGATATCACTGTGTAAATTACATAGTTAATGTTATTTGTATGATGATGCCTCTTACCCCCTCTTACATACCCAGAGATACTCATGGGGGTTATACTCATTACTTCAGACATTTCACAATTCGTATCCAGACTTCTCTGAAGGAGAAGATATATGATTGGGGAGTGGAATTAAGTACTGGATGGCTAGGCCTCCTGCACAAATTCTGGCTGCTTACTCATTGGAAGAAATTACTGTCAAAGTGAGGATTAAGGTAGAAGTAGCTGTTCTTAGTCTCAAGATGAGTATCACATGAATACACAACAACTGCTCAATTTCAAAGTCATTTGGCTCCATGCCAAGACTCCATTAATTTTTTTTTTATTATTTTGATTTATATGCCGCCCTTCTCCAGAGACTCAGGGCGGCTTACAAGGCGTTAAGCAATAATTAAGCAATAATTTGTGGAAAGATGAAGGGTTTACCCTACTAACAATACAGTAGTCAACTGTATACTATCACTGACCATAGCCAATCTGCTGTTTTGTATATCTTTCTTATTTGCAATAAAAATATTCTTATCTAGCATAACCACATATGTAAGTCTATTGCCAAGACAAACTGTAAAGCCACTCTAAGGCATGTAATGCTAGGAGATTAGTGAATTATTGTCAAGTCCTGGTTGGAAGGAAGCCTGAGCTTGTGAGTCATTATCATGCTGGCAAATGATGGCTATGTAAAATAGCCCCTGACTTTGAGGGAAAAGCCCAGTGGATTGATGTTAGTGGTACTAACATGAGTCAGCACCAATCCTGATGAAGGTACAAGTGTACCCTTTAAAGAGTGTGAATAGTGGGAACCATGTGTGTGAAGAACCATTCTGCTCCTTATTTTTCTGCAGATGTAGACTTTCTATGTTGTCCTTCCTTCAGTTTGGCACTTCGTTCTTAATTTAGCACAGAACACCTACTTTATAAAGAGCTGGTTAGTTAATCAATTCTATGAAAGTATTAATTGCCTTTCCTTGATTCTGGACCTTTTAAAGGAAGAGATGCTTTATTTTTTGGATATTTCCTTCCTTCCTTCCTTCCTTCCCTACCTACCTACCATTTCCAGCTATCAAAATGTTGGTGACATTACATTTATATAGCATACAGTTCATTTAATCTAAGAAGAAAGGAAAGTTTCAATGCCTTGAACATGTCTTTGCCTTCTCTGTGATTTATTGAATCAAAATATATTATTTAAAATAGAAGAAAGAGAAATATAGAATCAATTGTGCAAATATTTATTTTATATAACTTCTTATGCCTTAATATAAAGAATTCTGTTCAACATGTTTTAAAAATATTAACCCATCTATCAGAACTTGGACAGCATCACTGAAACAAAAACTGCTTTATAGAGCGGAGATCCTTAGATCCATGTAATTTAGTACTGTTGGTAGTAGCAGTGCTCCAGAGGCCTTTCAAGATTTATCTAGAGATTGCAGGGATTAAATCCTTTGTGAAAAATACATGCTCCATCACTATGCTACATAAATGGGATTTTTTTTTCCCCTTGAATACTGTAATTCAATTCAACAATGTGAATTTTAGCAAACACACAAGCCACTGGCAATTGATTTTCTAGTATTAGGGACCAAATGAGAGGGTTTTTTTGTCTCTCATTTCTGTACAGCATATGTAGAACTTATCATTCCAGAATCTGTGAGTAAAGGCAAAGCCCATGAGATGGGGTTTAATTCTATGATGTCAAAGATAAGCAAAGAAAAACATATTTTCTGTTACCCAGATAATCTCCCTGCTGACCGACATAATTTTTCTCTCTCCTTTTGGGACATTTTATTTTTAACAGCTCTTTGTAAACAGCTCTGCTGAAATTCCTTGTAAGCTATTATTTCTTCAATGTTACTCCACAATCATGACCTTTTACTGTATAGTAGTTATTTGAGTAAGGAAACAAATTGTTACATTTTGTCCATAAAATTTTACTCTTTTCATACAATATGCAAGGCGCCTCCAGTCATAGTGAAATTTCAAAAATAAGTGAAGAACAAATGAGAAGGATTGGCTCACATACCAATCTTTTACATACTGTATTTATGTGGAAACAAGTGCAATTGGTTATTATTTTAGAAAAGATACAGAAAAGATAGTTACATCAGAAATCTTTTTTTTAATATATAATTTTTATTAATATATTCTATACACTAATATACAAATAAAATATACAATCCTGCCACCATGGTATAATATGATTACATTGTCCATAAGTATAAAATCATTCCTTTATACATACATATTTGCCATCATATATATATACATCATCATATATCTATTCTATCCCACCTTTTCTGGACCCAATCGTACCATACTTTCCAACTGTTATAAAATTCTGAATCTTTTTTACCATTGATCAATCTAGTTAATCTATCTGATTCCGCACACTCATTAATTTTATATATTAATTTCAAATCTATCGGTAAGTATTGATTTTTCCACTCCTGCGCATACGCTAATCTTGCTGCAGTGATAATGTGAATGAACAAGAACCATATATCTGATTTAACATTCAAAGGTTTTGCCCCCAATAGGAAAATCTCAGGTCTTAATTCCAAATTAATCTGTGTAATTTCCAAAATCCATTGCCGTATTTTTTTCCAATATTTAACCGCCTGCGGGCAGGTCCACCATTGGTGAAAATAGGTTCCATTGCTGTAACCGCACTTCCAACAGCAGGCAGATGTCCCGGGAAACATTTTAGCTAATCTCGCCGGGGGGAGATGCCACCAGTAGACCATTTTATATATGTTTTCTTTATATGAGGAGGCCATGGTTAATTTCATATTTTTCAACCAAATCTGTTCCCATTGCTGGAAGTCAAGGGGATTTCCAAAATTTTGCCCCCATGCTATCATACAATCCTTCACTACATCCTGTCCTATCTGCAGAGACAATAAATATGCATAACATTTAGATAATATCCCTTTCCCTCCTTCTAATAAGATCTTATCCAATTCTTGTCTTTTACAGTAGATTCCTTCACTATGTAAATCTTTTTTATACCTGGAGTGCACTTGAGAATAAGACCACCAGTCTATCTTATATCCTTGAAGAGTTAATAATTCTCGTGACTTCGGATTACCCTGAACATCCAAGAAACCTTCATACGTCAAGGTTTTCTCCCCTTTATACAATGTCGGGTAAATCTGAGCTTCCTGCGCCGAAATCCAACATGGAACTTTTGAATATACTCTTCTTCTAACCTTTTCCCAAGTGTACCCAAGCGTCCTACATAAATAGTGATCATCAAAGTGTCTAGGACGGCCAGATGCTCCCAGCCATAGAAAATAGTGCCAGCCATGTTGAAGACTGGCTCCCTCAAATGTCAAAAGTTATCTCTTTTGTAGGACCATCCATTCTTTCACCCAAATCAAGTTCGCTGCTTGGTGATAGAGCTCCAATTTGGGAGTCCAAATCCTCCTCTTAAATTAGGCAATTTAGTCACTGTAATATACAAATGTGCCCAATCCGTATCTTGAACTATGCTCATGAACGAATGTGGATGGAGACTCCAGAAATGGTGAACAGGAATGTTAATTGTAATTGGGATCAATGTAATAAATTAGTGTTAAAGATATTATTAAAAATTCAGGAAATGATGGGCTATAAAGAAAAAAATAAAAGACATGTTTATCACAAAGCAGTTAACTAAGTGGATATTCCAGAAAGTTATGTGCGGATACCACATGTGGATGGATAGTGCTAAAATAATATGGCTATCATGGAAAATATTGATCTGTTTCAAAATTTTTGCAAGATGAAAACTTGAACAAAATTATGTCCAAAATCTTCATTGTGAAACAAAATATGTAATCTGCAAAACAAAATCTAATAGATAGATAGCTTTGCAAGCTGGTATTTATTCTGAAGCATTTAATAAACAAAGTGTTAATTTGTAACGCTCCAGGAGAGCTTTGAAGTAAGCACTCCAGCAGAGAAAACAATTACTCTGACTTTTTGTGAGGGAGATAAATACGTTTTGTCTTCTCTTTAACTCTTCCTCACTTCCTTTACC